TATATATACTAAATATAATTATTATGACTGAAAATATTTTTACATATTGCATCACAGACTAGCGTCGGTCATATACGTAGCTCACATTTAAAAACCACAATATAATGCGACGTATATAAAAAAAAATTCGTTATTATATAATAATTTTCGGGTCACACCTCATTGCATTTTAAAATCTCAAACTAATGTCATAAATGTTTAGTTTAGGCCTCTGCAGCGGGTGCAGTGCTTCGAAGTTCAGTCTTGCTAAAGTCCAGAGGATTATCCTTAATAAGTAGGGGATCTAGTGATACTGCAGGTGGGGTGCTTCCTGCGTTGGGTGTGGTGGGGGTTGTTATCAAGTCTAACTTGTCGTGTAATGTTAACATAATGTTGTTATTACGTTGCACCTTCTTGTCGAAAGCCCTTTGAGGGTGAGGCAATGCGTATCGAAGTTTATTCCAGAACCATGGATCGTCCCATTTTAAATATGTATTCGTTCTTAAGTACGACTTCAACTCGTCGTCTAAGTTATCCAAATTAACGTTCCCGTACAATATTATTATCACTCGAGCCCTACCCTCACTCATGGCTTGAGTGTGAGCGGTTCGAAACTCCATTTTACCCCAAACACTTTCCAAAAAGCTTTCCGACAATATAACAACCGTCCTTCGTGAATTTTCCACCGACTGGGCAATTTGTTTCGATATAAACTCTCCGGGAATCCAATCTCGAAAATGGAGGCAGAGCTTGTACGGATGAGGGCCATCTTCGAGTATCGGGAGAAGTTTTTCGGTAACAAAATCTTCGTCTTTGTGAGAATAACTGATGAAAGCATCGTACAATTTGTCTTTATCCACCTCTTCTTCTGTAATGAACCACAGAAACATGTCGTGGGCAAACAACCACACTTTGATCTCTTGTTGGTACCGGTAGTACAATGCTATTGACAATGCTGCCAGGAACATGATGATAAGAAGCGACATGCTTATGCCCAGGACGAATGAAAGATACGTTGGACACAAGTTGTTGATGTTCAGATTTATTAATGATTTTCCTGACTGAGCACACGTGATACTTTTGGGATTGTACTGTGGAAAGAAAGAAAAGCAATATTAAAATATTATAAATCTTTATGATGCTTCATAATTTTAGCTGTTTTGAACATTAAAAATTCTACTATAAAATGAGTTGATTGGAATCATGTGAAACTACTAACCTGCTTGCGGAGCAAATTTTCCTTGAGAAAATTCGTTAGGTTAACAGCATCACAGTCGCACCTCCAAGGATTATGATCCAAAGAAATATTTTTGACAGTTGATTCGTTCAATTGCTTTAAAATGTCGTAACTCAAGAAGCTAATGTTGTTGTGATCAAAGTGTAATACCTGAAAATATTTTTTACTGATAATTATTCGCTATTTTGCCAAATTTCAACAGATTTCAAAACTGAAATGGAGATTCAGTCTATAGATTATTATTTAATTTGCAAACAATCAGCGATTTTTGAAGTCAACTCCAATCAAGCAATTAATTTACCTGAATATTTGGTGGTAACCACTTAATTTCTTGAATTTTATTATTGGATAATACCAATCTGGTGGTTTTCTCATAGCCCATTCCTTCCACGGGTCCTTGAGTCAGGTGATTCCCTTCTAAATGCACTTCTGTTTGATTGTACAAATTTCCGCCAGGCAAAATAATGTTAGGTACATTGGAGATGTTTCCATTCGAACAATCATAGATCAAAGATTTGTCCCAAGGGCGAGTTTCGCAAATGCAACTTTCGGGACATAAACTGGAATTGCCATAAAATTGTGTTAAAGAGCAGGTGATCATTTTAGATTTTAATTTTGAAATTGGGAAACCAGCAAGAGAGTTGGGCGATTTACATGTTGCATCACCGACTTCAATCTGCATGTATGCTAAGGCCTCTGGATACATCGAACCTTCCACGTATCTTGATAAATGAAAAGCTTTGCAATCGCATTCGATTGGATTCCCGGCAATATAAATAACAAAATCGTCGTCTGGAGTTTTGGAAGCTGCATCTAACAGTTTGTCTTGACTTGTTGCAAGCACTTCTAGCAAGTCAAGTTCCACTACGGTTATGTTGTTGTAACGAAAATCTAGGATCAGTTTAAACGGTGTCAGTTTTTGAAGTTGTACACTCTGCAAATTAGAAAATCAAAATATAAAACACTTGTAGTAATAATTAGTGTTTAACGATTAATATTAATCGCAATTTGGATACTAAATATCGACTTAAAGGTCTCGACATTCCAAGTGGAAACGCGCGATCATGAATTTATTTTCGTGAAAGCTTTGTGCAAAAAAAAGAGTTCTTTTGGAGATGAATTTTAAAATCTAGTAATTTTGAACATTTCGTCAATGATTATAGATGAAAATAAAAATGGCGAAATCAATAACGTATAAAATAAAATACTTAAATATTAAATATTGTTGTGATGTGAACTTTCTTATTGTAATACGTTAGCATTAATTGAAAATATTATAACTTTTTCGAGTTTTACTTACCGAAATATTTTTAATGCGGTTTATATATACTAAATATAATTATTATGACTGAAAATATTTTTACTTATTGCATCACAGACTAGCGTCGGTCATATACGTAGCTCACATTTAAAAACCACAATATAATGCGACGTATATAAAAAAAAATTCGTTATTATATAATAATTTTCGGGTCACACCTCATTGCATTTTAAAATCTCAAACTAATGTCATAAATGTTTAGTTTAGGCCTCTGCAGCGGGTGCAGTGCTTCGAAGTTCAGTCTTGCTAAAGTCCAGAGGATTATCCTTAATAAGTAGGGGATCTAGTGATACTGCAGGTGGGGTGCTTCCTGCGTTGGGTGTGGTGGGGGTTGTTATCAAGTCTAACTTGTCGTGTAATGTTAACATAATGTTGTTATTACGTTGCACCTTCTTGTCGAAAGCCCTTTGAGGGTGAGGCAATGCGTATCGAAGTTTATTCCAGAACCATGGATCGTCCCATTTTAAATATGTATTCGTTCTTAAGTACGACTTCAACTCGTCGTCTAAGTTATCCAAATTAACGTTCCCGTACAATATTATTATCACTCGAGCCCTACCCTCACTCATGGCTTGAGTGTGAGCGGTTCGAAACTCCATTTTACCCCAAACACTTTCCAAAAAGCTTTCCGACAATATAACAACCGTCCTTCGTGAATTTTCCACCGACTGGGCAATTTGTTTCGATATAAACTCTCCGGGAATCCAATCTCGAAAATGGAGGCAGAGCTTGTACGGATGAGGGCCATCTTCGAGTATCGGGAGAAGTTTTTCGGTAACAAAATCTTCGTCTTTGTGAGAATAACTGATGAAAGCATCGTACAATTTGTCTTTATCCACCTCTTCTTCTGTAATGAACCACAGAAACATGTCGTGGGCAAACAACCACACTTTGATCTCTTGTTGGTACCGGTAGTACAATGCTATTGACAATGCTGCCAGGAACATGATGATAAGAAGCGACATGCTTATGCCCAGGACGAATGAAAGATACGTTGGACACAAGTTGTTGATGTTCAGATTTATTAATGATTTTCCTGACTGAGCACACGTGATACTTTTGGGATTGTACTGTGGAAAGAAAGAAAAGCAATATTAAAATATTATAAATCTTTATGATGCTTCATAATTTTAGCTGTTTTGAACATTAAAAATTCTACTATAAAATGAGTTGATTGGAATCATGTGAAACTACTAACCTGCTTGCGGAGCAAATTTTCCTTGAGAAAATTCGTTAGGTTAACAGCATCACAGTCGCACCTCCAAGGATTATGATCCAAAGAAATATTTTTGACAGTTGATTCGTTCAATTGCTTTAAAATGTCGTAACTCAAGAAGCTAATGTTGTTGTGATCAAAGTGTAATACCTGAAAATATTTTTTACTGATAATTATTCGCTATTTTGCCAAATTTCAACAGATTTCAAAACTGAAATGGAGATTCAGTCTATAGATTATTATTTAATTTGCAAACAATCAGCGATTTTCGAAGTCATCTCCAATCAAGCAATTAATTTACCTGAATATTTGGTGGTAACCACTTAATTTCTTGAATTTTATTATTGGATAATACCAATCTGGTGGTTTTCTCATAGCCCATTCCTTCCACGGGTCCTTGAGTCAGGTGATTCCCTTCTAAATGCACTTCTGTTTGATTGTACAAATTTCCGCCAGGCAAAATAATGTTAGGTACATTGGAGATGTTTCCATTCGAACAATCNTTTTACTTACCGAAATATTTTTAATGCGGTTGTACTTCATGTCGATTAGCCTGAGAGTATTTTTAGTGATGATATTCTCAGCAAATTCTTCCATCAAGTTGTTGTTTAAAAACAGTTCTTCCAGGTATATACAATTCCGAAAAGGCGAATTTGACATACTATACTTAATTTCGTTATGTCCCATTCGAACAATCTTCAAATATTCATTTCTTTGAAACGCCCCTTCATCAACTGTATGTATGGCGTTCATCTCGAGATTGATTTCCTCGAGCATTGTCAATTCGGAAAATATATCGTTAGTTATGTTCGTTAACGAATTATATTGCAGCATGAGATTTTTTAAATTAGTCAGCGGATAAAATGTTTGAGCAGATATAGATGCGATTTTGTTGTAACTCAAGTCCAATTTGTTTAAACTTTTTAGGCCATCAAATATATTTTCTGGAATATCCGTTAGCATGTTTCTTCTTAATATTATGTTTTGTATGCTGGAGTCATTTTCAAACAATTTGCTCGGTAAAAATTCTAAATTATTTTCACTCAAGTCGACGGTTTCAAGCTCTTTCAAATTAGAAAACAGTCCAACGGGCAGCGATGCTAGATGCGGATTTCTTTTGATTAAAAGTTTTGTGAGTTTCCTGTTTTCGGAAAATGTATTTTCTGAAATTTCCGAAATATTATTAGCTGTAAGATCAATTTCCACTATATTCTTCAAATGTACAAATGTGGTGCTGTTTAACTTTTGAATTTTATTGAAGGAAAGCACTAAAAGTCTTAAATCGTTCAAGGGTTGGAAGAGATTATCTTGTAAATCAGTTAAATCGTTTTTCCTCAGATATATGAATTTAAGGTTTAAAAGATTATCAAACAATCCATCGGGAATATGTGTTAAGTGATTTTCTGATAAGTCCAGTAACGTTAAATTTCTTAGGTTTTTGAGTATCGTAGGTTTTAATTCTAAATTATTTGCTCTTAAATCCAACATCGTCAAACTGCCAAGATCATCAAACGCGTCATCAGTAATTGATCGGATTCTGTTTTCGCTCAATATCAAAGATTCGAGTCCGGACAGGCCATCAAATAAATGCCTTGATATCGTTTTGTCTTTATTATCGCTGTTGTTATCGAATTTTAAAGTTTTCGGGTTTTTTGCCCCGAACCTGTCCATAATCATTTTGAAAGTGTCGGGAAAGGGACACATTCTAAATTGGAGATATTCAATTTCTCCGACATTTAAGTTAGGAAATATATCAAGATTCCATTTGTCACTATTACAAATAGGGAAGTTCAATTGCTTCTTGGGTTCTACGAAGAAATTAAACCCCTCCTCGTCCGAAGGGCAGTAAAAATCGTACTTTGCTTGATGGATGTAACAGGAACAATTAGCAGTTCGAACGCATTCGAAAGGTGTCGATGACGATCGACAATCGTGTATGAAAATAGTTAATAAGAACAGTATTGATATGGAGCATGTTGCCTGAAGGAATGCCATTGTGGTGAGATCTGAAATTAAGAATTTCTTTTGTGAGATAGGAATTTAAGAAAACACAAAATAATGAGATGTAGAGTCATCATCATCAAAAGGTCGTCAGTCCTAAGACTGGTTGGATATGTATCTCCACTATTTCCTACCCCGAGCTAATCTTCGCATTTCCATAAAACTGGAACATCCCACATCCTTAACTATTTGCGAACAGTAATCTGATCTAGTACTCAGGACAACAAAAGGGGATGAAAGTGCGTTCAACTAGTATTCGGATATACAATTTAGTCTTAGTTAAACGACCATTTTCAGAAAGCTAAAATGGCGTCTCGATCGTTAAGGTTTCGATATAGTAATTAAACTTTCGAAATTTTTATTATACTTAACAATATTGAATTCGCATTTGTATTTGTACGTAAATGCCATCCGAATAATTTTGATGGAAAACAATAGAATTTATCTAGTTTATGTTCCCCAGAAATGTTCGGTTGCAAGCGCAATTGCTTTCAATATACTTCAGTAAATAGATATTAACATTGTTAGTTCTAAAAACATTACGTACCGGGAACTCGTGATTGTACTAATTGAAAACGTTAAAAGAGCGATAATGTCATTTTTTCTAACTGTTTACGTAACTAGTTTATTATTTGATTAATTTTGTTTTTTCGGTTAAAGTAAATTAAACTGAGGATCAGTAAAAGATTTTCGGAATTCAAATCCGGTTTCGGATTTACATATTATCCGAGCGTACTATAAACTAATAAGCCTTAAAAAAAGTGAAGATACTGGATCTACTATATATATGTATAAATACATGTGTACATACATATACATAAGTAAAGGTCACCAGTAAACAAGGTCCGTTAATTTATGCGAAATTGTCTTTATTTTATTTGATGTTTTATTCACAAGGTGAATTCTAAAATTTTCAGAGTTCGATGTTATGTACAGTCAGATTGTAAAATCTTTGTGAAACGTTGTACCTCAACCATGTTTTATTCCATTTCGTTATTTAATTTTTGTGGAGCTCATAAAAAATTATTTTACATTAAATCTGTAATATGTAATACGAATAACTTTCCTTATTCTTATTTTAATTCGTCAATAGCATAAAAAATAACAATAAACTGCAAATTAACAAATCTACCTAAAAAAACAAGCCATTTTGTTGTTTTTTGAACAATTCCGTTACCATTTCTAAACGCAAGTTATAATAAATCCAACAAAAGATTGTTGGTGCCATGCCAAATACGGTATTGTTCTAGCTGACCAGAATTTAAATTTGATTATAAAGTTATACTATAGTGTACACAAACAACTACCATCAATTCCTTACTTACAACATTATAAATAATACAAGAGTCATTATACAATGCAACAATTTTCAAAAGTTACCCTGTATGCTACCTATTTTGTGAATTTCTACGGGCTAACCTGTTCTACCAGTTTACTCTATTTTATCGTTAAATAGAAGAACTACAGACTTCTAATAAGAATCATTAACTATAATTAATTCTGTTTAGATATGAGTACTTATCATTAGCAGTAGTTGTATGTCTATATATATGAACGCGCCTTTTTTTAATCAACCAGAATTAACAGCTATTAATACTAGTTGAATAGTTTGACTTCTAGGAAGATGTTTTTATATTAAAAACACGATCCTGTACAGCAGCAAAAGCATGCTTAAGTACAGACGATGCAAAATTATTAACATTTACATCTTGACAATATGAGAAAATTTGTATAATTGATTTTTTTATTTACTCTGTTAAATAATCAAGTAAGTTTATCGTCGCAATAGATACAATAAAAAGATACATAAATGCGTGTTTTTTTTTTAGAATTTGTTTCTAAGTATGTGTTACTTTTTTTCAATCGTAAACTGAGTGTTTCGTTAATTTTATGTTTATTTTCCCACTTAACATACACAAAATTTTGTAAATAGTATTTCGTTTAACTTTTAATTATGTATTTATAGGAGGATTCTGACTTTAACCGCAAAAACGTCATTTGTTATCGTGTCCATTTGAGCAGTTGACAATTATAGGTGTTATCAGCCTCGAAGTAACAAATAGGAAATGTCCAAAAGAATGCAGAATTATGATAAGGAATTTCCTAGTTTACAATCGTACTAAACAAGTCAAAAAGAATTTCGAATTAATTATTATTACTAATACTGCCTTTGTTGTAAAAACTCCGTCGGTAATCAAACCATTAAAAATAAATCAATCGAATAGGTTTAAGAATTACATCAATTACCTAACAAAACGTGTTGTTTTTACTATTTTTTTTAATATTTGGTTAAAATGACTCAAAATTGAACAAAAACACTCGGGACATAAAAATTACTAATTAGAGGATTATGATTGCACCATACTAAAACAAAGTGATAGGAATAGTAAACATTAATGTTGTCTTTATTAATAATAAAATTATTTGTAATAAGTCACATTCTGTTACCAAGATTCCTAGAAATTAAAAGTGGATCATACATAGTATGTACAGGTACCATTAGGTTTAGCTATTACAATCGGCAGTATCAGACTAATTACTTAATTAAAAGTTGAGAAAGTATACCTGTTACATACATTTAGTACAATTCAGAAGTGAAACACGTCTATCTATTATGATTATACTATTTTACTAAAACTTGAGAATCCCCGGGCAAACACGGGAGTGGTAACTTTATAAAAATATTTTGACTCGATTCCTAAAATTCCTCACAACAGATTAAAGTTTATTATCACGTCCATGTCTTCAGATAAACTGGTTTTGTCAACTTGTTATTTGTGTATAAGGGAAAACCTTTGGGAAAAACCAAATCCCAAATTGCTATAGCATGTACAGTAGGTGATTTATTATCTATTTACTTTACCAATGGTCAATTTCAATTTCTACAGAAAAAAGACTTTACCAACTTCTAATTTTTAAATATAAAGTATAAATTACAGATGGGAAAAAAGTGCCTACATTTTTTTGAGATTTAACGTATTCATTTACGTATATTTATAACTAAAACATCCTTACCTTTCATTGGCATGCAATTTGAAAACATAGATTGCTTTTTTTTACGACTTGTGAAAATAAATACACCCCGTGTATTAGTGACAAGAACATTGTAAAAAAAATGGCATATACAACTTTTGTTGGTGGGAAAACTAGCTGTGATTTTAAATGAAAATGAAGATTTCCTACCCTTATGCCAATTTTTTTACAATGGATTTTTATAACTAAAACCCTTGTTTTGATTGGCGTGCATTTTTAAAACACGTAATTTTATATTCTTTGTTATGACTGCTCGAGCCCTTGGATTACATGCCTTTCAGTATTGGGCCCTAAATCATTTACGTTTCATACCTAAGCATACATGTCATGGAAAAACACAATTTTCATCTAGAAATAAAATTTTAATTTTCACTATGACCGGAAAGCGTGCATCAGTTAAGAACCTTTTTATTTTTCTTATCAACCCCCAAAAAAGCATACGGTATAGAATAAAATCAGATAACACCTCACAAGCTCTTGATTTATTTGATTTGACGAAAATCACAAAAAAAAATAGATATACACATAACGAATAAACGTATTATAACAATATAGTTATAACAAAACGTTTACCAGAACGCGATGAGAAACATTTTTTGCAGCAACAATGCTGATAACACCATCTATCTATTTAAACATTTATTGCATGATTAATAATGTTTAGACCAAAATTAATATGAATGCAATAAATATATCTATCTTATCATCCTACAAACTAACAGGAAAATAAGTCCATTCACGTAATTTTTTTATTCAATGAATTAATGTCTAGTGATTATCAAAACAGAAAATTTCTATAATTATCTATATATAATACCATATTGCGAACATTTAACAAAATTAGAAACTTTTCAAACCTTAACGATTCCCTTGTGATATTTACAAACTTATGATTAGTGCTCACCAATTATTATCCTATTTAAAACTAATTTAAGTCTCTTAAAGTGAATTTAATAAATAGATCTGATTAATAGTAAGCAGGATTACTAAACTCTGTTTTGTTTTACCACAAGATACTTAAACAATAATAAATCTACATAATTTTGAACAATAGTGCACTAAACAATAGAACATCGTTTACCCCAGCAAGTTTTTTAAAGCAAACAATTAACCTATCGAGAAACAGAATACAAATCACATACAATGTACCTACATATGAAAATTATGATGCAAATTATGAGTACATTTTATGCAAAAGTACTTATAGGAAATATTTTTATTTTTTCTTTTAGACTTGATATCAATCTCAAGTTAAGAAAACTCTTGGGCTTTACAGTTAATAGCACTTACATTTCATTCTAAAAAAAATATGGAAAACATGAAATGTTTACTACGACTTACAGTACCTGGACATGCTACTTACTTTTACTTTCAAATATGACTTAACATAATTTTAGCAAAACAGCGTTCACTTCATATAATTTTAAATACGAAAATATGTATGAAATTAAGGCTTTGCTATCACGTAAAACTTTTTCTTTTAAATGACCTGACCCTGTATTATAGATAACCTTTTCCAATAACCAGCATTAAGAAAAACAAAGAATAAGTTACAAATATAATATAATATAATTTAAAGTCCCCTTCTATCTGTCTTAAAATTTTACAGCAAATTACCCAAGAAATAATTACTAATACATAGACATTTTTACAAATCTACGTACCTTAAAAATAAGTTGTATTGCCAGTATTAGAAAATTATTTATATTCACTTTACGATTTTGTTATGTATAAATATATGCATACTTGGGTCTATACACAAATATCCGCACATGCACGAAGTGAGCAATACGCATGCATTGCTTAACGATAAGACATTTTTAAGTAAATCGAAACTTTGTGATGTCCGACTTGCAACAAAACGTTACGGATTTAGAATTAAATTTTTTTTCTTTTTGTAATGTACACTAAATTATTTCTTTATCGTTACATATTCAAGAGAAATTTCACGGAACCGTGTTTCACCTCACGCAACTGATGCGCGACGTTCTTTCGTAAGGAAAACTGTATGGAATTGAAAATTGACGTCACACATATGTAACAGCGTTCAGCGTTGTCAAATGACAAACATTCTTTGTGAAAATGTACTACCCCTTCCACAAAGATCTTATCAGAATTAAGAATAACCAATAACAACTATCCATTTTGTTTTCAAACAATACATACACTCATACTCAGGTTCTTCGCTTTAATAAAACTAAAGACGTAAATTCCAAATTTTGTATACGTTGTTATCAATATTTGTATTAGGCAAGTAATTGTGTTGCTGTTTGATAACTGCATTTATTTCATATTCAATATTGATGTATAATGATAACGATCCAAAAATTCCAATCAACTACGTGTTTTCTTATTCGGTAGTTTTTCTTAAAATTTAACAAAAAAATTAAAAAAGTAAAACTCAAAAGGCATACGTACCTATTCATAAAAAGTTCTGAATAACATTGCAAATCAGAAAAAGAATTATAAAATTTTTTGTAATTTTTGTTATATTGTTTTCTAGTAATAAATAAAATACAGAAGAAAATAGCTTTTGTGACGTAATATCGTAATATTTGTTAGGGCGGTCGCTGAAAGTTTAACTTCAGGAGACAAAGGGGGTCCAAAAGGGTGAAATTGGAAGTGACGTATTTTATGGACGAACCCCTGTTACAATACCAAAATGTAATATTTATAGATAATTTTCTTTACATTTGACAATACCGAATCGACGCAATCAAATGCAGTGATGCCAGCCATTTTTAATTAATTGGCCAAGTATTACTACGGTTACTAAACCTCGAATAATATGGATTACTACAACTTTCAGTTCTCTATTAGTATAATTCGATATTATTGCTATTTATACTCAATAATAATGAATGAAAGAGAATTTTTTTTCTCTTGTAAAAATTCTTAAGTGTCTTTTAGACCATAAAAGTGATATTACTATTCATTTTTTACTTAAGCAGAGCGTTATTAATACAACAACGTTTATCAGGTTGTCTACAGACAAAACTGAAATAAAAATATCAATGACTTACATTATTTTGTATCTGTAAAATGTATATTGGAAAAACATGGATTTTTTAAACTTTTATTTAATTT